CAATCTATCTCCATCCATCCATTATCTATCTATCTATCTATCTATCTATCTATCTATCTATCTATCTATCTATCTATCTATCTATCTATCTATCTATCATCTATCTACATCCATCCATCTATCTGACAATCCCAATGGAAAATAATGCCGTATTCGAATAACAAGCCTTATTTCCTGAGAAACAGAGATGCTTACAGAGGTTCTCAATGGTCTTAACGTAATTGTTGCTGAGGTTGAGAGAGTCCAGTTTCTGCAAAGGTTCCAAGTTCTCGATTTTGTGGATCAAATTGAGTTGAAGATAAAGGCAACGCAGGTCCGTCTGCGCAGTCAGGTTCTCAATCTTTGTCAGGCCGTTGCACTCGAGCCACAGGCACCTTAAGCCTGTGTATTCTTCCAAGTTCTCCAAACGATCAAATCCTACAGGAATTGGAACGCAGAGAGAATGTTCAAAGATGCTCTTTGTGAACAGACGGGATGAACAGCTCACATGTGAGGATGGGTGAGTTGCAATGCAGCCCTCATTTGATCTTCAACTTGCCCTGAAGATGGTTTAACTTCAAACTCCCCCCCCCCACCATGTAAGGCTTAGGAAAGACTTCATAACATAGAAGGGATTATAGATGCAGACTTCTTTCCTTCCTCCCTCCCTCTCCCCTCCCCTCCCTTCCTTCTACTTGAGCACAGATTATTTTTTCAAATGCCCAATTATTTAAGTGCATTATAGTTTCAAACATTTGGCTTCTCACCTTTGTAATGGAGATAGAGGGTGTCATTCAAGCTTGGAGTCGTATATAACTTGTGCTGTTTGCAGAGATCCCGCAACAGTTTTTTGGTCATTCTAAAACATTAACAAGAAGTGTAAATCCTAGGATTATTTGAAAGAGAGTATGACTTTATTAGTCGGTAGTGCAAAGATGCATTTAAAATTCACTACCTACCAAAGGTTCAGCATCCAAACTTTTACATTTTGCTTAAAATCTGCATCAAAAATTTGGTTTAACTATGGCCAGGGCCAGCATAGATGTAACACTTTGTCACGATTCATTCTAACAAGTAAAGTAACTGAGGAAGGAAAACTCATCCTGCTTTCGCCTCTCAACTATGCCTAATTAATTCTAGCAATTTTAGTTTTTCTCTTAAAAAAGGAATACCTATATAAAAAAACAACTTACCGCAAGCCACACTTGTTTAAGTCTGATTCTCTAGAGGATGAATCAAGTACTGGCTTATGATTATTATTTGTCTTCTCAATAGTCTTTTGATCAGTGACACTCCCGGAATTTTCTCTTTTCAGTGCTGCTTGAACATTAAACATGGCATCAAACATTTGGAGTCTTCAGATTCGAACGATTCCGTTTTACTGTGATAACTAAAACTCAGTCTAGAATTCAGTGTGTAAGCAATGATTGTAAAACGTCCCATACATAGGATAATTAGTATATCATCCTGAACTTCTTGGCGAAAAGAGACATGAATATATTTTCATTTGTTTTAAAGAGCATATATTATGTGAGGTGATCTCCTGTGCTTGCTATATAAATGCAGTTTCTGCTTTTTAATAGGAGCCAGATGTGTAGAAACTAAGTAGGAAAGTTAGCATGTTTCCCAGCTATGTATTCATGCATTATCTGGACTGTGCCTGTGCACACACATCAGCCTCTGCCATAATGCGCCTCATTCCGTGCAACACTGTGGTTTACTCAACAAAACTTGGTTAAAAATTACAGTAGTCCTCAACTTACAACAGTTCATTTAATGACTGTTAAAGTTGCAATGACAATGAAAAAAATGACATGACTATTTTTCACACGTATGACCATTGTGGCATCCCCATGGTCACATGATCAAAATTCAGATGCTTGGCAACTGGTTCATGTTTATGACGGTTGCTGTGTCCCGGGGTGACGCAATCCCCTTTTTGAGACCTTCTGATAAGCAGTCAATGGGGAGACCAAATTCACTTTACAACCATGTTATTAACAACTCAACAGCTGCAGCGATTCACTTAACAACTGTGGCAAGAAGTGCTAACCGTTTTGCTTAGCAACAGGCATTTGGGGCTCAATTGTGGTCGTAAGTTGAGGACTATGTGTGATATATCTAACACGGGGGCGTGCTAGCTCAGTATTTAAAGAAAGACAGAGTTTAAGTCAGCTGGAAAGCTGACAGCCTGAGTTGACAGCAATGGGGTGAGTTCCCATCCCTTGCTCCAGCTCCTGCCTGCTTAGCAGTTCAAAAGCACACAAACGCAAGTAGATAAATAGGTACCACTTTGGTGGGAAGGTGACAGCATTCTGTGCACCTTGGCCTATAGTCATGCTGGCCACCTGAACACAGAGGTATCTTCTGGTAACACTGACTCCCACTCTAAGAAATAGAGATGATCACCACGCTCTAGAGTCGGAGGTGATTGACAGGGGACACCTTTGCCTTTATACCCAGCTTAGATTTCTCAGGTCTTGGGAACAAAAAGGGACAGGCTGCCATATTGCACTAGCCAAGACCAGCTAGCCATTGTAGAGAACAGAATATCAGACTAAAATGGGAACATTAGCTGACTCAGAGAAGCAAACCTTATCCTCTTAAAAGCGCTTGTTATGTTTTAACAGAACAGACTGAACAAGAATGAAAGGAAGGAATTACCTGGTTCTCCATTGCTATAATCAACATCACCAGTTTTCAATTTTGGGTTGTCATAGCAAATATCCCTTTCTTCCCCTTGGTCTCCTTCAAACAGTTGAGGCTTTTCTTCTAAGAGTTGGAGAGATAGAGTCAATATACAGTGCAGTTGTTGAATTATGCTAGCATCTCCCCAACCTAACTAAAGTGCCCCGAAATAATGTTTTCGATGCTGCCTCACATCAAGTGAGTCAATTTTTGTAGGAATCAAGACTCGGGCAGTAATGTATGAGGTGCCTTTGAGGCTACTGTGTCCTAGTTAGAGCATGAGTTGCGAGGAACTTTTAAAAAATGAACCTAAAAAAAAGAACAAGTGGCAGGAAAAGGGAACAAAGAATGTGTCCTATAGTTATACTTTGTTCACTTCTATTTATCTATGTTTCTACGACTGAGAAATAAAGCAAGGGGAATATTTATGGTACAATCAGTCATTTTTATGACTGTTTGGAGTTACAGCGGCCTCAGAATGGGCAATCTGCTTTCTGCAAAGAACTTCAAAGAAATGATATCGTGCAGTATAGCTATCACATGTAAATTAATTCTTAATCATTGAGGCCAAAAGCATCTAAAAAGGTTAAATCATGGCAACTGGACCAAATTTGATTAAAACTGAGATGTTTCGTTACTCATCCAAGTAACTTCTTCAAAATTATTTTTTTTAAAGATATAGCTTATCATGCATCACCAAAGTCATTTTAGCACCTCTAGTAGCACCTTAGGCGCAATAGCAATAGCCCTTAGACTTATATACCGCTTCACGGTGCTTTACAGCCCTCTCTAAGTGGCTTAGAGTCAGCCTATTCATCATCATCTTTTAATGACGCCATAATCCCTTGCGGTGTGGAGTCTGGGCAACTGAATGGAGTTAGCAGAGTGTTTACTGGCCGGATGCCCTTCCTGTCCGCCAGTATGGAGTTTAGTTTAGTAGATATATTTTCATTGTGCCCAGAGAAAGAAATATATGCCTCTACCTAGGATTGAACTCACAGCCCCCTGATTGTGAGGCGAGAGCTCCACCTCTACGCCACCACACTATACAGAGTCAGCCTATATCTGCCAATAATCTGGGTCCTCATTTTACCCACCTTGGAAAGATGGAAGGCTGAGTCAAACTTGAACCATTAGACACCAATTGTAATGAAATGGGGAAAAAATACAGAGCAACATTTCAGACTGCAATGCTTGCAGTTTAGCCATTCTGCTTTACTACTACTCCATGGTCAAACGGCATTTATAACCATTCTTTTCTTGGATCCACTACCTGCTTTAATTAAGCTGTCCCCATTGCTGGAAGTGCTGCCTTTTTTTATTTCTTGGTCGTTTCCGTCTGTTGCAACAGCCTCTCCTAATCCAGATTTTTCACCGGGTGGATACATTTTCAGCTCTGTCACCTAGAACAAAAGACCAGGCATTTATAATAGGCTTTAGAATTCTTTATTGGCCAAGTGTGAATGGACACACAAGGAATTCATTTTCGGTGCATAAAGCTCTCAGTGTACATAGAAACTCTAAGTGGTAAATCATGATCATAGTCATCATAAAAATACATTCAGCATAAAGCATAAGATACAACACTTAGCGATAGTCGTAGGATACTAAATAAGCAATTGACATAAATCATACTAGGAAACTAAATAGAACAATATAAACTGTAAAGATACAAGCAACAAAGTTATACGTAGAAAAGGAGATAATAGGAAAGATTAGAAGAATTATACTAAGTCTTACTAAATAGTTTTATAGGTGGGAACATCGACTTACAACAGTTCATTTAGTGACTGTGCAAAGTTAAACAGCAGTGAAAAAAGTGACTTACGACCGTTTTTCACACTTACAACCATTGCAGCTTCCCCATGGTCATGTGATCAAAATTCTTGGCAACTGGTTCATATTTATGACGGTCGCAGTGTCCCAGAGTCATGTGATTCCCTTTTACGACCTTCTGACAAGCAAAGTCAATGGGGAAGCCAAATTCACTTAACAACCATGTTCCTAAACATCAACTTTGGTGATTCACTTACCAACAGGGGCAAGAAAGGTCATAAAACCTATTTGTTTTCCTCCCAGCAACTTTATGAGATCAATTGCAGGTAGTCCTCGACTTACGACTACAATGGAGCCCAAAATTTCTGTCGTTGAGTGAGACATTTGTTCAGTGAGCGTCTTTGCTCCATTTCACTACCTTCCTTGCCACAGTTGTTAAGTGAATCNCTCCATCCATCCATTATCTATCTATCTATCTATCTATCTATCTATCTATCTATCTATCTATCTATCTATCTATCTATCTATCTATCTATCATCTATCTACATCCATCCATCTATCTGACAATCCCAATGGAAAATAATGCCGTATTCGAATAACAAGCCTTATTTCCTGAGAAACAGAGATGCTTACAGAGGTTCTCAATGGTCTTAACGTAATTGTTGCTGAGGTTGAGAGAGTCCAGTTTCTGCAAAGGTTCCAAGTTCTCGATTTTGTGGATCAAATTGAGTTGAAGATAAAGGCAACGCAGGTCCGTCTGCGCAGTCAGGTTCTCAATCTTTGTCAGGCCGTTGCACTCGAGCCACAGGCACCTTAAGCCTGTGTATTCTTCCAAGTTCTCCAAACGATCAAATCCTACAGGAATTGGAACGCAGAGAGAATGTTCAAAGATGCTCTTTGTGAACAGACGGGATGAACAGCTCACATGTGAGGATGGGTGAGTTGCAATGCAGCCCTCATTTGATCTTCAACTTGCCCTGAAGATGGTTTAACTTCAAACTCCCCCCCCCCACCATGTAAGGCTTAGGAAAGACTTCATAACATAGAAGGGATTATAGATGCAGACTTCTTTCCTTCCTCCCTCCCTCTCCCCTCCCCTCCCTTCCTTCTACTTGAGCACAGATTATTTTTTCAAATGCCCAATTATTTAAGTGCATTATAGTTTCAAACATTTGGCTTCTCACCTTTGTAATGGAGATAGAGGGTGTCATTCAAGCTTGGAGTCGTATATAACTTGTGCTGTTTGCAGAGATCCCGCAACAGTTTTTTGGTCATTCTAAAACATTAACAAGAAGTGTAAATCCTAGGATTATTTGAAAGAGAGTATGACTTTATTAGTCGGTAGTGCAAAGATGCATTTAAAATTCACTACCTACCAAAGGTTCAGCATCCAAACTTTTACATTTTGCTTAAAATCTGCATCAAAAATTTGGTTTAACTATGGCCAGGGCCAGCATAGATGTAACACTTTGTCACGATTCATTCTAACAAGTAAAGTAACTGAGGAAGGAAAACTCATCCTGCTTTCGCCTCTCAACTATGCCTAATTAATTCTAGCAATTTTAGTTTTTCTCTTAAAAAAGGAATACCTATATAAAAAAACAACTTACCGCAAGCCACACTTGTTTAAGTCTGATTCTCTAGAGGATGAATCAAGTACTGGCTTATGATTATTATTTGTCTTCTCAATAGTCTTTTGATCAGTGACACTCCCGGAATTTTCTCTTTTCAGTGCTGCTTGAACATTAAACATGGCATCAAACATTTGGAGTCTTCAGATTCGAACGATTCCGTTTTACTGTGATAACTAAAACTCAGTCTAGAATTCAGTGTGTAAGCAATGATTGTAAAACGTCCCATACATAGGATAATTAGTATATCATCCTGAACTTCTTGGCGAAAAGAGACATGAATATATTTTCATTTGTTTTAAAGAGCATATATTATGTGAGGTGATCTCCTGTGCTTGCTATATAAATGCAGTTTCTGCTTTTTAATAGGAGCCAGATGTGTAGAAACTAAGTAGGAAAGTTAGCATGTTTCCCAGCTATGTATTCATGCATTATCTGGACTGTGCCTGTGCACACACATCAGCCTCTGCCATAATGCGCCTCATTCCGTGCAACACTGTGGTTTACTCAACAAAACTTGGTTAAAAATTACAGTAGTCCTCAACTTACAACAGTTCATTTAATGACTGTTAAAGTTGCAATGACAATGAAAAAAATGACATGACTATTTTTCACACGTATGACCATTGTGGCATCCCCATGGTCACATGATCAAAATTCAGATGCTTGGCAACTGGTTCATGTTTATGACGGTTGCTGTGTCCCGGGGTGACGCAATCCCCTTTTTGAGACCTTCTGATAAGCAGTCAATGGGGAGACCAAATTCACTTTACAACCATGTTATTAACAACTCAACAGCTGCAGCGATTCACTTAACAACTGTGGCAAGAAGTGCTAACCGTTTTGCTTAGCAACAGGCATTTGGGGCTCAATTGTGGTCGTAAGTTGAGGACTATGTGTGATATATCTAACACGGGGGCGTGCTAGCTCAGTATTTAAAGAAAGACAGAGTTTAAGTCAGCTGGAAAGCTGACAGCCTGAGTTGACAGCAATGGGGTGAGTTCCCATCCCTTGCTCCAGCTCCTGCCTGCTTAGCAGTTCAAAAGCACACAAACGCAAGTAGATAAATAGGTACCACTTTGGTGGGAAGGTGACAGCATTCTGTGCACCTTGGCCTATAGTCATGCTGGCCACCTGAACACAGAGGTATCTTCTGGTAACACTGACTCCCACTCTAAGAAATAGAGATGATCACCACGCTCTAGAGTCGGAGGTGATTGACAGGGGACACCTTTGCCTTTATACCCAGCTTAGATTTCTCAGGTCTTGGGAACAAAAAGGGACAGGCTGCCATATTGCACTAGCCAAGACCAGCTAGCCATTGTAGAGAACAGAATATCAGACTAAAATGGGAACATTAGCTGACTCAGAGAAGCAAACCTTATCCTCTTAAAAGCGCTTGTTATGTTTTAACAGAACAGACTGAACAAGAATGAAAGGAAGGAATTACCTGGTTCTCCATTGCTATAATCAACATCACCAGTTTTCAATTTTGGGTTGTCATAGCAAATATCCCTTTCTTCCCCTTGGTCTCCTTCAAACAGTTGAGGCTTTTCTTCTAAGAGTTGGAGAGATAGAGTCAATATACAGTGCAGTTGTTGAATTATGCTAGCATCTCCCCAACCTAACTAAAGTGCCCCGAAATAATGTTTTCGATGCTGCCTCACATCAAGTGAGTCAATTTTTGTAGGAATCAAGACTCGGGCAGTAATGTATGAGGTGCCTTTGAGGCTACTGTGTCCTAGTTAGAGCATGAGTTGCGAGGAACTTTTAAAAAATGAACCTAAAAAAAAGAACAAGTGGCAGGAAAAGGGAACAAAGAATGTGTCCTATAGTTATACTTTGTTCACTTCTATTTATCTATGTTTCTACGACTGAGAAATAAAGCAAGGGGAATATTTATGGTACAATCAGTCATTTTTATGACTGTTTGGAGTTACAGCGGCCTCAGAATGGGCAATCTGCTTTCTGCAAAGAACTTCAAAGAAATGATATCGTGCAGTATAGCTATCACATGTAAATTAATTCTTAATCATTGAGGCCAAAAGCATCTAAAAAGGTTAAATCATGGCAACTGGACCAAATTTGATTAAAACTGAGATGTTTCGTTACTCATCCAAGTAACTTCTTCAAAATTATTTTTTTTAAAGATATAGCTTATCATGCATCACCAAAGTCATTTTAGCACCTCTAGTAGCACCTTAGGCGCAATAGCAATAGCCCTTAGACTTATATACCGCTTCACGGTGCTTTACAGCCCTCTCTAAGTGGCTTAGAGTCAGCCTATTCATCATCATCTTTTAATGACGCCATAATCCCTTGCGGTGTGGAGTCTGGGCAACTGAATGGAGTTAGCAGAGTGTTTACTGGCCGGATGCCCTTCCTGTCCGCCAGTATGGAGTTTAGTTTAGTAGATATATTTTCATTGTGCCCAGAGAAAGAAATATATGCCTCTACCTAGGATTGAACTCACAGCCCCCTGATTGTGAGGCGAGAGCTCCACCTCTACGCCACCACACTATACAGAGTCAGCCTATATCTGCCAATAATCTGGGTCCTCATTTTACCCACCTTGGAAAGATGGAAGGCTGAGTCAAACTTGAACCATTAGACACCAATTGTAATGAAATGGGGAAAAAATACAGAGCAACATTTCAGACTGCAATGCTTGCAGTTTAGCCATTCTGCTTTACTACTACTCCATGGTCAAACGGCATTTATAACCATTCTTTTCTTGGATCCACTACCTGCTTTAATTAAGCTGTCCCCATTGCTGGAAGTGCTGCCTTTTTTTATTTCTTGGTCGTTTCCGTCTGTTGCAACAGCCTCTCCTAATCCAGATTTTTCACCGGGTGGATACATTTTCAGCTCTGTCACCTAGAACAAAAGACCAGGCATTTATAATAGGCTTTAGAATTCTTTATTGGCCAAGTGTGAATGGACACACAAGGAATTCATTTTCGGTGCATAAAGCTCTCAGTGTACATAGAAACTCTAAGTGGTAAATCATGATCATAGTCATCATAAAAATACATTCAGCATAAAGCATAAGATACAACACTTAGCGATAGTCGTAGGATACTAAATAAGCAATTGACATAAATCATACTAGGAAACTAAATAGAACAATATAAACTGTAAAGATACAAGCAACAAAGTTATACGTAGAAAAGGAGATAATAGGAAAGATTAGAAGAATTATACTAAGTCTTACTAAATAGTTTTATAGGTGGGAACATCGACTTACAACAGTTCATTTAGTGACTGTGCAAAGTTAAACAGCAGTGAAAAAAGTGACTTACGACCGTTTTTCACACTTACAACCATTGCAGCTTCCCCATGGTCATGTGATCAAAATTCTTGGCAACTGGTTCATATTTATGACGGTCGCAGTGTCCCAGAGTCATGTGATTCCCTTTTACGACCTTCTGACAAGCAAAGTCAATGGGGAAGCCAAATTCACTTAACAACCATGTTCCTAAACATCAACTTTGGTGATTCACTTACCAACAGGGGCAAGAAAGGTCATAAAACCTATTTGTTTTCCTCCCAGCAACTTTATGAGATCAATTGCAGGTAGTCCTCGACTTACGACTACAATGGAGCCCAAAATTTCTGTCGTTGAGTGAGACATTTGTTCAGTGAGCGTCTTTGCTCCATTTCACTACCTTCCTTGCCACAGTTGTTAAGTGAATCACTGCAGTTGATAATTTAGTGACCAGGTTGTTAAATGAATCTGGCTTTCCCCCATTGATTTTGCTGGTCAGAAGGACATAAAAGGGGATCATGTGACCCCAGGACGCTGCAACCATCATAAGTAGGAGCTCCTTCCAAGCATCACATGACCCAGGGTTGCTACGAAGGTCGTTAAGTGTGAAAAACGGTCATGAACTCCCTTTTTCCAGTGCCACTTTGAACGGTCACTAGACGAAACTGTTGTAAAACGAGGACTTCCAATATTCAATCAATGTTTTTTTAACAGTGTGTGAATACGAATGATTACTCTGTGTCCCAGCCTCCTCACTCTCTCCTCAGCGGGCCATCCTTCCTCCCGCAGGTAAACGGAGATCAGCCCTTCGCCGCCGCCGTTCCAGACTTCAAACGGCTCCCGGCCAACGGCTTCTCCGTTTCCATGACAACGACGCACCACGCACGGGTCCGCGCACGCGCCGCCCGGGCCAGCTGGTCTCGTTTGAGCTCCGCCCACCTCCTTCCCCCCATTTGGTGAGGCCGGAGGCGTCTCTCGCTTCCAGTCTCCAGCGCTCCAAAACAAGGGACATAGAGATATGAAATGGTGAGAATCACGTCCCACGCTTCAAACCACGTTGCGGGTTCACATGTCAGAAACCCAGTCAGCAAACTTCAGTAGAAAAGAGCAACACCGCTGACCGTCAGTTCGGCCAAGAGTTTTTCTCAAGTCTCCCTAATTAAATTGTAAAAGAAAAACTTTCCTGATTGTCCTAATGGAGATAGAAGGTTATAAATCTTCTTATAAAGTGTAGTGTAGCTCTTCCACTGAACCACATTTAAATCTCCTGGAAGATACGTATAACAGCGTCGCTCTAAATAATTGAAGTCTCTCCAAATTAATTCATGACAATGTTCGATTATTTCAAATAGTTTTATTTAGAAAAGGGCCGCCAGAGGTAAAGTAGAAACGCGGCGTCTTTAAATTCTGTATTCCTTTTTCTTACACCGCGTTCAGGACCTGGAAGCCGGGCATTTGGAGGAGAGAAAAAAAAAGACTCCTAAGGATACATGGAACAAATGGCTTGTAAATCCTACGGAATTGGATTCAGGGACCATTACATTAGCCAGTCTGTTTCTAAACTCCACGTTCCGAGTTTTCCTGCTAGCTAAGAACACAAACTCGGCTTAAAGAAAGGGTTTTTAACCAATGACAAGATTGGATTAAGAAGGAAGTTACAGTCCTGCAGATGTTATATTGTGATGCAAAGGCCACCAGCATCAGAGAACACCTGGTAAGATCAAACAAAGCAAAATAAAATTGGGGGTTTGCCGTTGTTTCTTTTGCATTTTAAAAGCAATGACGAATGAGCCTCTTATTTATTTATTTTTTTGCATCTTATTCAGCAGCCTATCTGAGATGGCTATACAAATATAAAAATTGATTGATTCTTTCTTTTCAAAAAATCACGTTTGCCAGGTCGGAATAGAATAGAGATGCCTGCCTCAATTAGAAAATGTAAATTCCCGGGTCATTCCTTAAGTCCACCCAGCTTGTATTTTGTGTTCTGGGGTTTTTTTGTTTTTGTTTTGCCAATGTGTAAGAACATTTGTTGGTTGAGATTTGAAGTTGCCAGTTGTTTGACCCTTCTGACACCTAGTCAAGGGGTTCCTGCCAGAAACCCAACTGCCACTGGATTAAGGGACTCCAATTTTTGAGTAAAGGGACGTAAATCAGCCAGGTTTAGCTTGATTCAGCAATGGGGAATATGGGGAGGGCCAGGGTAGAAAGTTCAGTTCGGGTTTATAGGAGGGGAAAGGAAAAAAAATCTTTGAAAGAGATTCTATCTTAAGTGGCTTGCCTTAATCAGCCTAGGAATTAATTCTTGCCGTGTGCTCAAGATGATGCTTATGCCCTGCTTTGCAATAATGGTGTGCCTTTGGAAAGGATGTCGTTTATGAGTTTGCTAATGCACCAGCCATGTGCTGGCTAAATGTGCTACATGTGCTAAAGGTGGAGATATCTATGCTCCCCCTGTTGGGTTACCAGAGGGGACTGTATCATCCTTTTTGTCCTCTGTTGGGCAGAAACACCTTAAAATGAAATATTGTCCTGTCTGTAGAGATTCTCAGCCATCCAGGTCCTGGTTGTCCCAAAGGGACTTTTTTTCTCAGGAGGCAACTGGACTTCCTTGTTTTTTCCCCTTTTGAAGACGTTTCGCTTCTCATCCAAGAAGCTTCTTCAGCTCTGACTGGATGATGGGGAAGGGAAGGATTTATATTCTTTGCAGGCAGCTGGTCGTTTGCATCCTTTGAGAGGGTCCTTGAAGCACTTGGAATCCTGTGTCTTCAGGGTCACCTGAGTAGTGCAAATAGTTCCTGTAGTCTACAATTTTTTCCTCTGGAAATCCATTGCTATTCCCATATTATTCCAAGGCTGTTCATCCCAAATTGCACAGCTAAAAGTCTATAGGGATTCTCAGTCCTCCAGGTCATGGTTGTCCCCAAAGGTGCTTTTTCAGGAGGAAACTGGACTTCCTTGTTATTTCTTTTGAAGACATTTTGCTTCTCATCCAAGAAGCTTCTTCAGCTCTGACTGGATAGTAGATCCTTCCATTCCCCTGTCAGAGCTGAAGAAGCTCCTTGGATGAGAAGTGAAACATCTTCAAAAAGAAAAAACAAACAAACAAGAAAGTCCAGTTGCCTCCTGAAAAAAACACCTTTGGGACAAATATTCTCCTGCTTTTTGAATGTCCTGTTTTTAAAAAAAATTACACTGTTTTCTGAAGAGGAGTCATTCATTTATTATTATTATTATGACTCATTAAATTCTCAGTTTCTTTCTTTCCTTTGTCAGTCAACAACCTATATTTTTTTATTATTTGTTTCTGGAAACAACTATCGACTTCAATCTGGCTTCTTCTGATCTATGATCGCTAAAATCTGGAAATCGCAATAAGCCATTATAGGTTTCTAGGGTAACATTTGCAAAGCGTCTCATTGTCTCTTTATGATATATTCTTGAAAATAAAGATGACTTGGAAAAATATTGTGATTGCAAAACCAGTCTTTCATAGAAATTTCATACATATGTGGGCCTAAGTCCTTTTTCTTGTAGTTTTTCATTATAACTTTTTCAGAAATGCCAAGAAAGTTAAACAGTTTCTTCCTCTTCCTATATATTCCTATATATTAATATATATATTCCTATATATTAATATATCTGCCAATCCCTTCTGTGGCACATGGGTACAGTATCCATAGAGAGACTTGCGAGTCAGCAGGTGCCTGTTGGACAATGGCCCTGAAGACAGAAAGTCTATTATATATTAGCCAATAACCTGGCGTTTTATAGGGGGAAAATGTTCGGCCCAAACATAATTTCTAATGTTGGATTTTCCCGCTTACCAGAGGGAACCCCCTTGTGGAGTACTGTAAAGCCGTTACCATGGCAACTCCACTGCGCTGTATAGTAGAAACCATTTTACGGCAGTACAGTAGAAGCCATTTTAAGGCACAACAGGTTGTATTAACAGAACACACACCCCGAGGGGTTTAGGGGTGTTTTCAACCAGGTTTGGTTGAAATTGCTTGAGGCGTTTCAGAGTTATATACGCGCGTGCGCGCGCGCGCACACACACACACACACACACACACACAGAATTCTATTTCAAGCTATTTAGCTCTCATCAGCTAGCCATACCCTTACTGGGATTTGAACCTGGGCTGTTTTTACATGTTATGCAGTTGAGCCAAGGAAATAAGTAAGTGTTATGTCAAAGCACCTGGTATGCCTAAATATGGGAGGGAGCAGTAAGGGTATGGCTAGGTAGGGCATTTGTGTGCCCCATTTTTCACCTCCCCCACCTCCAGAAGTATTCTGCAGGCAAAAAATGGGCAAAAATGTATACATGCCAGTTGCCAAGAGCCTAAATTCTGATGATGATGTGACCGTGGGGATACTGTGGCAATAGTGAGGACTGGGAATTAAGTCACTATTTTCCAGTGTCAGCGTAACTTGAAATGGTTGCTAAACGAGTGCTTGTCAGGATTGCCTGTACCTCACATAAATTTGTCCTAACGGATGCCACTCGTATTTTTCTCTTTCAAGATAATTCGGTTGCAATGGCTGCGGTGGACAGCTTCTCCCTCTTGATGCGGGAGATCGGACGGTCCTACCACTACTGCATGGAGATGCTGGCGGTTGTGGGAGCTTTCTATGTGAGCAAGGTGTGCGTCACCGTTTTGAGTGACACCTACGTGCTGATCAGGGTGCATTTCGTTCCACGGATCTTTGGCCGGCCTGACTTAAGCAAGCGGTATGGAAAATGGGCTGTGGTCACAGGTAAGAAAAGCCCCTCCTCCTTCCCCAATGGCTTTATGCATCATTTCTCCTACAAAATAACAAGGATTGTTATTGGAGGTTCAAGGATGCTGCACACTCCTTTTTCCAGTGTATAATGTGGATTGATCTCCCCCCCCCCCAATTGATTAAATCCTGTGGTGCAAGGGGCCTCTATAGTCGGCAAGCCTTTATTTAGCCTTTGGGAAAAGCTGGCCACATCATCCTTCAACATCTTGTAAGGTTTTTGAACTCAGCTTACAATCTGATAAATCCAATGAAACTCTGAAGGACTACTGATAATGTGTAGGTACAGGCCAGTGTTTCTCAACTTCAGCAACTGAAATCTATGGACTTCAACTCCCAGAATTCCCCAGCCAGCTCAGCTTAGCTGGTTGGGGAATTCTGGCAATTGAAATCCACAGGTCTTAAAGTTAGCAAGGTTGAGAAACAGTGGCCTGTACCTACGGAAAATGAAAAATCTGAAAATGGATGCCTGCCTTCAGTTTAACAGTAGGATATTCAAAATATTATAATTGGTAACTGGTAATTGGTACCTACACAGAATGAAAAAATCCAACTAAATGTTAAAAAGTGCACGAGCAACATTAAAAGGTAACAAAGAGGTAGAAAAGGAACCAGAAAAATTGTTGAAAGTAGAGACAGGAGAGGAACAGACAACCAACGTAAATGAACAAGGAATCAACAAGGTAGAAATGGAAAATAAAACTCAATGTGGTAAAGGCACAAAGAGAGCAGAGAAGAAAAAAAGGGCATCCAAAAAAGAAATTAGCCAAAAATAAAGAGAGAAATAAAGGGAGATGGGAAAGAGAAACTTGGGGGAGAGATACTAAAAAAAAATCTATCGAAAAGTGAGAGGGAAAATGCAGAAGAAAAGATGTATGACACACAAAAAGAAGAAAAAGAGGAAAGAAAATTTAGAAATAGACAAAAAGTAGAATGATATGATTCAGTAAAAAGAGAGATTGTTAACAGGGTAAAAATATGCTTTAATTAGAATG